CTATGAGTAAGAGTATGAGTATTAGTCCACGGAGGAGTCTGAGCAAGAGCCCAAGCATTAGTCCGAGGCGAAATCTGAGCAGGAGTCCCAGTGAGAGTAGAAGCCCTCCAGTTGCACGGAGGAGTGTGAGCGGAAGTCCTGTTAGGAGTGCCAGCAGTGGTAGCCCAGCTAGGAGTGTTAGCAGAAGTCCAGTGAGGGGTCAAAGGGGCAGAAAAAGTAGGAGCCCAGCTAAGAGTGTGAGCAGAAGTCCTGTTAGGGGCAGAAAGGGCAGAGGCATTAGCAGGAGTCCGGGGAGAAGTGTTAGCAGAAGTCCAGTGAGAGGTCCAGCAAAATCAAGGTCCCAAAGAAGCATTAGCAGGAGTCCAGTAAGGTCATTGTCACGAAGAAGTTTAAGTAGGAGTCCACCTAGGACATCATCAAGAAAATCAGTCAGTAGAAGTCCTGTAAGAGTATTGAGGAAAAGCATGAGCAGGAGTCCTGTGCGCATTTCAAGAAAAAGCATTAGCAGAAGTCCAGTTAGATCATCTAGAAGAAGCATTAGCAGAAGCTCGGGTAGGGGTCCTAGGAGAAGCATTAGCAGAAGCTCTGGTAGGGCTCCTCGGAGAAGTATAAGCAGAAGCCCAATTAGGCCACCAAGTAGGAGTACACGGCGTAGCTATTCGAGGAGTCCCAGTCCTGCACGGCGAGCAAGGTCACCTCCTTCTGATCGTGGAAGAAGTGTTTCACCTGATGGATCTCCGAAGCGCATCAGAAGAGGGCGGGGGTTTAGTCAGCGTTACTCTTATGCTCGACGATACAGAACACCATCCCCAGATCGCTCTCCTGTGAGGTCATATCGTTATGGTGGCAGAAGTGATCGTGACAGGTAAATTGTCATTAAATTTTTTTCAAATACTATTGTGGGTTTTGTTCAACTCTCTGTTTATGCTGACAGCATTTATCTATATCTCTAGGTATTCAGTTTACCGAAGGTATTCTCCTAGGCGATACAGAAGTCCTTTGAGAGGAAGAACACCGCCAAGGTCTGCACAAAATTGGTTATTGTTTAATCATGATTTTTCTGTAATAGATCAATGGTGCTGCACGGCTCTTTTCAATTGAAGGTTACCTGTACGGTCTCTATTTGGTAGCATGTGAAATTAATGAGTAACTATTGAAATAGAAATTGGAGAAGTATCTGATGTTGGGTTTTTCTAATTTGAAGCCTTCTATTGTTGGATATGGATTCTCATTACGGAGTTTGTAGTCCATTTGAGCTGATTGCTGTAAATGTTTGTCCATGTAGATACAGGGGAAGAAGAAGCAGGACAAGGAGTCCATCTGTGTCACGTAGCCCTCGATACCGAAGTCGTCGTTATAGTCGCAGTCCCAGTCCAATTGGCAGTCGTTCCCCGGTTACAGCATCTAGACCTCAAGCTTCTCCACGAGATGAGAGGCGAAGGTCACCTTCGCGGAGTCGGAGCAGGAGCCTAACTGGTTCTGAACCATCAGGGGAGTCAAAGCCCCCCAAGCGGGCAAGTAAGGCAAGGTCCAGGTCCAGGTCAAGGTCAAGGTCATCTTCTGGAAGCCTGGGTGGAAAGAAGGGGCTGGTCTCATATGATGATGGTTCTCCTGACTCAGGCCAACGGTGAAGTAGGTCGCAGCATGATATTAGTGTTGGATGAGATTTTAGGTCACACCTCATGTATTGGAGTCTTAGTTTCTCATTTGTCCGGCTTCATATTTTCATATTTTATTGTTCTAGTTAGAGTCTTGAGATTGTGATGGAAATATTTCCCTGGTTTGGTTCAGATGAGCATTTGGAGTGTTATGGGGGTATATTTTGAATAATCATTGGACTTGACAGTTTGATTATGATTCTAGTTTTACTTATGGCAGGCTGTTGGGGCTATTCTCTCTTCCCAACAATTAAGGTTCGAGCATCAATTATTTTTTCTGACCGGTGGATTATGTTCCATCGTGAATCACTGCCGGATGCAGCTTTGCGTTTTTGGTGTACGCAATAGAATTAACACTGCGCCGGCATGCTAAGACGAGTAATCTTTTGAACTACTACTTAAATAATTGTTAAAGAGTTAAAAAAACTGAGTGTATGCAGGTTCTATTATTTAATAGTTAGCATGTGGGTAAATCTAGTAGTTTCATATACTCGCAGAGATTACCCTGTTCGGTTTCTTCTTCGTATTTTGCGAGAAGGTTCTACACCATCTGCTGCTTTTAGTTAACATTAATGTATGTTTTAAAAAAGTGTCTTAAAAGTAATTTAAATCAAACTTTCTTGTGATTTTGCTTTTGGTGTTAATACGCCCAAACACTGAAAAAATCAAAGTGTTTTGAGGTAACAGTTACATTTTTTTAAAAAAGAAAGAGTAACAGTAAGGTTTTTAAAATCTAATGTTTGCTTTTGCAGGTGGGTAATAATTTCTCATATCTATGCTTACCAACTCTATCTATTGTTAGTAAATAATAATATTGCGAAAATAACACAGTACGAGTTGTTACCTTCTCGTCCAAATGAACCCTATAGTGTCAGTTACCATTAAATTTATGTTATGATTAATATCTCTATTAACATTACATAACTAGAATATTTAATTAATTAACAATTTTTATTTATAACTAACTAATTTATTAAATTTGTTTTAAATTGTTATAATCAATTACATCTTGAATTTAATTACTAAATTTTATTTAATACGATAGATAAAAAAAAAAAAAAATTAAATGCTTTGTTATTCTCTTAAACTGGTTTAAGTGTTTATCATTGAAACTCTTATTTTTTAATTAATTTTTTTTTGATATTACATGTAAACCAAATAATTATATTATTTATTAATATTAGTATGTATTAATTTGTAAATCTGTGTATATGTCCCTAAATTCTGTTGTGATTATAAACTTCCTAGTATATTTAGGCATCACTAGCAATATCTTACGATAAAAAACCCACCATATAGAGATTATCAATTGCACGACTATTAGAGATACCATTAAACTAAGCTATTATAACACTCCATGATTTTACCAAAAGTTTGGTAGTTAGAGAGTAAAAAATTTATATATTACATAAGATCAAAAGATATTATACATTCTTATAAATAAATCAGACAACAAGATGAAGATAATAACCTTTACCATCATCCTCGTACTTTTTTTTTTTATTTCTTGCTCTTGTAGTTCCTTTTTTTTTTGTTACTATCTATTTACATCATAATTACTTTGTAAATGTAACATGAGGTCACTGTTTGTTTTCCCATATAGGTTATTTGGCCACCAAGTGAGGATATGGCCATCCTCTTTGATACCCACTCTTACCCTCTTTCAGAAATCAACTTCATTAATTTAGCAACATAAGTAGAGTGAAATGAGCTCAAATGTGACTGTCAATCAAGAATAAACTACTTAAGGAGAAAGATGAAGGATTAGTTTCATTACAATGCTGAGAAAACATTGCGATTGGCTGAGATTTTGGTGAAGAATAATCTAACAATAGAGTTGTGGAGCATTAATTATTATGCATAAGGAAGATAGTGTAACTTTCGTTCAACTAGTAAACAAAATTTTTTAAATATAAAAAAAAATAATTCATCAACTCAGTGTAGATTATACAATAAATAATATAAAAAATTAACATAAAAATATTAAATATTTTAAAATTTTACAATTATCTAAAAAAAATATAAATTTTATCTAAAGATAAAAAAAAATATATATATATATATATATATAATTTTTAGTTAAAAGACAACGAACAATTTTATATTTAATTCTAAAAAGATACTAACTTTGCTTAATTATTAGTAAAACGTTCTCGTATAAAATTATGAAAGAAAAACGATCTCACCATATGATAGTCATAGAAAATTTTCAATTCTATCTATTTGTGTAGGAAGAACAACTCTTTTTAAGGTGGAAGAGATCTTATATGTTAGAAAAAAAATAACATTGTAATTAGATAATAATCATAAATAAACAAATTAAAAAAGAATAAAAAAGACACACTACCTGCCATTTCAGAGCAGACATGATGAACTTATCCTCCAGTAAATGGACCGTTTGTCTTTTTAGATAGAATTGTTTGACTATTTTCTGTAAGATAATATATTAAATATATATCTATTTTATGCAAAAAAATTATGACAAAATATACTATACAATATATTTATTATGAAAATATTGATTATTAGAACTTTCTCAAAGTTTTATAAATTAAGGAGCATAAGGGATCTGTTGTGTTTAAAAAGTCATCAATATATATATATATATATATATATATATACACAGACATCTATTGGCAATGTTATGATTTTTAAATGAAAATAAAATTAATCAAAAAACTAAAAAATATTTTTGTTGATAATTACTATGTAAATAAATTCTTTCTACTTATTACATTACAGAATGATACAAGTAGTGATTTATATCAAAAGTTATCATCAAGTGCTATATTAATATTTATTATAAATCAATTTTCTTAATTATTTTGAGAAATTCCTTTACCAATTTTCTATGATCATATACTTTAAAATTATTTTAAGAAAATATTTTTAAGGAATATAGATAAGAAAAGAATGTAAAACACATTACTTGTCCTTTATGGGTAGATATGATAAACTTATGAACTGTCTAACCTCAATGGTTTAACTATTTTCTATTGTAAGAAGATGTATTAATATGTATATATATATATATATATATTTCATGAAAAAATTATAACATAATATGCTATACAATTTATTATTGTGAAAACATTACGAGACTATTATATTTTACTTTTTCAAAAATTTTTAAATTAGAAAATTATAACAAGTTTGTTGTGTTTGAAAAATAATCAAGACATAAAAGTATTTATTGACGATATCATATTTTATAGATGAAAATAAAGTTAATTAAAAAAAAAAAGAACATTTTCGTTAATAGTTACAGAAAAATAATTCTTTCTATTTATTGTACTATAGAATAAAATAAGAAATAATCTATGTTAAATTTTATTGTCAAACATTATACTAATATATTTTATAAATCAATTCATATTCTATTAAAAAATTCATTTATTAATTTTTTGTGATCATATATTTTGAAAATTATTAGAGTGAAATATTTATAGGAGACTGTATCATTATTAAAAGCGATGAGTTCTTAATTATCATTCGTAAGATTTTATTAAAAGTACAAATCAAAGTTAACGATTATTCTAATCAAAGTACATGAAAATAAAATTAGTATTTTGGTGGCATAGTATGGTTCTTTTGGTACAACTCAACCATGGTGGGATTAAGTTCAAATGATTCTTATATGCTATTATATGTTTAGATTCTTCTTTTGACATATAACTTCAATCTAAGGGTTTGGTTCATGTAACAAATACTTACATAATTGTGATAATGCCAAGTATAATAATGTTCAATGAACTAACTAGTACTTTTATATTTGATAAAATACATAGTAATCTATATATATATATTCAATTATATTTTATGTTATATTAATCTTATGACTACATATATTTATGAATCATGTTCAAAATTTTTTAAATGTTTTATTATTGGGATATTATCATGCTACTGCGACATGATACATAATTTATTCTTCTTATAAATTTAAACATCTATTCTAAATAACACATTCTTTGTTTCATTAATTTGTGGCCAAGCTGCAAAAATCCCAATTAAAGGAGTTG